TCAACTCATATCATTGTGGGAAAATTCTACTACCAGTCCTTCATCACTTTACACGAAATAGGGTGAATACTTCTCATTAAATTAAAGTCACCTAGCAACTAAGCTGTTTTTTGCCAACTAGGCTTACTACTCTGATACCTGTAATTCGTTCATCTGCCTTTGGCGACTGCATATAACTATCGCAAACATGATTTCACTTCTCCTTTTTGATAGTTATCTACTTATTTACTACTTCTTCCCTGTTTATCCTCTATCAGGACATTTACTGCGCTCTAGTCGCCAAAGCCTCATCTGATTCTTCAAGCGAAATCGCTGGTCAACATTCCTTCCCAAACTCTTCTCTATCATCCGGTTGTGGCAACAGAAATGGTCCGTTTACAGTGCGCGCAATGCTTGTCAGTCTGTTAAGCCGGTTGCGCAATAATCAGGGTCAGCGATGGAGCCTGGCTGGCCGGATCATCGACGGCAGTGCTTCGCTCGATGTGATTTTTCATTCGGATCTTCTTACTCGTCTCATTGGACTTGGTCCAGGCCAAGTGGAGACGCTGAGGACGGAGAAGGTCGTCTCATCTGTCTTGCTCGTTTTTTACAGTTGCCATCTTTCTTGCTTGATTTGAGTCTAAATAGTTTAAAGTTATAGTTGTCCATTGTCTATTTTTTGATACGGAAAGAGTCGTCAACACGACTGAGCAACCTGACAGTAAGCGACACCTATTTTACATTTTACAACAGTGTATCTGAGTAAATATTTTGACTATTGATGGGAGCTCCACTCTCATCTCTTTTGGCAAATGTATGCAAGGACAAATTGGGAAGGGAATTCGAGAAGTCATCTCTGCAACCAAGAGTGCTTATGCAATACCTAAATGACTACTTTGTACTTTGGTCGCATGCTAAGCTGAATTAAAATGAATTCCTATACTTTATGAACCAACTTAATGAGCGAATTAAATTCACACTGGAAGCGGAGGAGAATGAGCAATTACCTTTTCTAGATGTTGATGCCATTCGTGTCAACACGATAGTCAAGAGGAGAATATTCAGAAAGAAATCATTTGTTGGAATAATCCTCAATTTACAGTCTGATAAAAAGTACTGATTAAAGATAGGATTGATGAAGAGTTTGAACATCAGAAGCTTGAGATTAACGGACATTGAGTTTTGGGACGATGAGTTGGGCAATTTCACA